GAGAGAGAGAGAGAGAGAGAGAGAGAGAGAGAGAGAGAGAGAGAGAACGTCGCTCTTGATGGTACACGAGCATTATGTTTGAGGAAGAGGTTTCCGAAGCAAGTCGTCTGTGGAGGAAGTTGAGGAGGAAGGAGAAAGGAGGGAGGATGGATCAGGAATTTTCGCCACGTGGCATGTTGAGTTTTCGTTAATTGACCACGGTTTCAATGTGATGATGGATTGAGCAGTCGATCAGTGTATGCTCTTCTGTCTGCCAGGATGCCGCCTCTCTCCTTCCTCAAGTGCTGTAGGCATGCTGCATCTCTCCTCTCGTTCTCTTGGGTTCTCCCTCCCTCCCTCCCTCTCTCTCTCTCCATCTGTCTTTGCGGGGAAGGCTTTGTCGTTACGTGGTTTTGAAGTAGTGACGGGTGGACCATCTCCGTGGAGGGCTTAACGATCGGCCTCCGCCGCAGAAACGCAGAGGGAAATGAGGGGATGGCAAGCATTCGTGCAGCAGAGAGCGTGATCGCGCGCGCGCGCGCGCGCTCGTGAGAGAGAGAGAGAGAGAGAGAGAGAGAGAGAGAGAGAGAGAGAGAGAGAGAGAGAGAGAGAGAGAGAGATGGTGTTGATGATGTTGCTGCATTATGGCCAACGTTCCCGAACTGAACGTTGATGGTGATAGAAAGAAGGGGAAAGAGAGAGGTTGGGGAGAGGATTGGGTGGGGGAAAAAAGAGAGGAGATGGATAGAGAGGCGCAGATAGCGAGGGAGGGTGTGAAATGAAATTAGGAGAGCGATAGCGAGGGCAGGTGCTAGAAACGCAATGCTATATCTTCTCGTTTTCCCTCATTTAATTTCCGAGGATTTACAGATGATTCCCATTTCGTGTTCCGATGATTCAGTAGAGTGCTCATATTTAGGCTTGCGCACGCCCGCGCTCGCGAGAGAGCGAGCGAGAGAGGTTTAGGAACTGAGATTTGGGCTCGCGCTCGCGCGCGCGCGCGCGAGAGAGAGAGAGAGAGAGAGAGAGAGAGAGAGAGAGAGAGAGAGAGAGAGAGAGAGAGTGTAGTCAGTGAGACCTTGTACCCGAGCGAGAGAGGTTTGGAAACCGAGATTGGGGCTTGCGCGCGCGCGGGGGAGAGAGAGAGAGAGAGAGAGAGAGAGAGAGAGAGAGAGAGAGAGAGAGAGAGAGAGAGAGAGAGAGAGAGCTTTCAGCTTGTGCTCGCTCACCTACATCGACGTGGAGCCCCTTGCACCTGGGGGAAGCTCACGCTCGCTAACTATATCAACGTGGCTCACCTACTTCGACGTGGCGACCCGGGCCAAGGTCCCACTTGCGCAAATTAGGAGATTTCGGCCGTTGATCTTTGCTATCTACGGTCAGTATCTCTTAATTCGTGCAAGTGGGACCTAGCCCCCGGTGCAAGGCGCCCATTGCACCTGGGAGAAGCTTGGGCTTGCGCGCGCGCGAGAGAGAGAGAGCTTTTCAGCGTGTGCTCGCTCACTTGCATCAAGGCGGTGAGCCTTGTTGCACCCGAGATGCCCAGGAACGGGAGAGCTGAAAGAAGAAATGAAACAGAAACAGTGAAAAAAGCCGAAAGAAAGAACAAAAACAGGAGGGCACTGCGCATGAAGTCTTGAAAAACAGTGCCCTGAGTTCGAATCCCTCGATGGTCAGTCGACTAAGGGCCCGGGCAGAAGGGATGAGAAATAGGCAAAAAGAAAACAGACCACTGCGCTCGAATCCCCCGATCGTAAATAAAAGAATCCCTCGAAGGTAAAAAAAAGAATCCCTCGATGGTAAAAAAAGAATCCTCGATGGTAAAAAAGGAATCCCTCGGTGATGGTAAAAAAGGAAAGAACGAAAACAGAGCACTGCGTAGCAGAAAAAGGGGAAAAGAAGATTAGTCGACCAGAGGTGGAATCCCTCGATGGTCTCATCTGTTTCGCAAGATGTCTATCACAATTGAGAGAGCGCACTTTGCGCACTTTGGGAAAGGGCTGAAGAAAAGAGCAGACAGCGTGAGCCACTCTGAAAGCGTTCTTGTTGCCTCTTTCTGTGCATTTTTTTCCTTTCTGTTTGTGTCTTTGGCTTTTTGTTTTTTGGTTGTAATGGAAATGGAGCCAGGGCCATAAGGACCTGTTCAATAAAACAAAAACAAAAAAAAAACAAAACAAAAAAAAAGTTTTGCGGTTTCTCTTTTATTAGTTCTTTCAGCTCTTCCTTTTCTGTGCCGCTCAGGTACAAGGCGGACCACATTCATGTAGTTTAGGGCGAGCTACAAGGGCCGCTACGTTGATGTGGGTGAGCTCAAGCGGCTTACACACCCTTTGAGAGAGGAAGGATACAGGGCCTCGCTACATCACTCACCAAATGTGCAAAATGAGAATGAATCTACCGTTGGAACATGGGAATATGCATCGCATGTTTTTTGTCTTTAATTCGTGTGG